TGAAATGTCCTATCATCGGTAACAGTCACATTATTGGTAGTAACTTCATCAAGGGCTTCACTGTTTCCCTTCTCAAAACCGAGTAGAGTTTCTTCTTCGACAGTGGCTTTTTCAGGTGACACGTCTTCAGCAGCATCATTTGTTCCATTGTTCACTTCATCCCAACTGAAATGTCCTGGACAGTGATAACGCCAAAGCCTGTTAGCATGCGCCACCTTTGGCTTACCTTGCTGACCACATTTTATCCTGAAAGTCACGTTTGATAGACGATTCACTATGTCATATAGGCCTTCCCATGGAGAAGACAACTTAGGAGACTTCCCTTTGGTCTTCCTGGGATCATACAACCACACCTTTTCTGGTACAAAGCTGACTTCAGTACATCTCTTATCATAAGATAACTTCATCGAATCAGCGGACGTTTTCAAGTTTGAATGCACTTGATGGTGAATATCATCCATCCTTTCTGATAACACTTTCACAAACTCTGACACATTTTTAGGCAACTCTTCATAAGGTGGGCGTCCTGTTAACAGATCCACTGGCAACTGAAGTTCACGACCAAACATCAACTTTGCTAGAGTGTATCCAGTGGCTTCATGCTCTGCTGTCCTATAGGCCATCAACAGTGGAGGGAGTAAGACATCCCAGTCATCTTGGCGACTATTACAAAACTTTGCCAATTCCTGTCCCAGTGTCCAGTTGTATTTTTCTACTATCCCATCAGACTGTGGGTGAAGTGGCGTTGTCCTGGTCTTTCGGATGCCAAACAACGTGCAGCATTCTTGGAACACAGCTGATTCGAAGTTACGGCCTTGATCTGAATGCAGTTCATATAGCATATGGCATTCTTTGATCTTGAAGGGGTTGTTAAGTCAGGATATGGGTTCCTCAACCATCACCTTGTTCAGAGTTCCTTGCTTAACAGAAGGGGTGCATATACCAACAGTAAGAAATTCCAGGGTCTATGCACAGACTTCCCTACACAATTTTTTAGTCTTTCTTGCTCTTCAATAGACAATGAATGCCTTAGGGTTTGGACTTATTATGGGGACAGTTGTTTGGCTTCACTCTGACAATTCCATGGTGATGTCTTGAGTTTCTCATTGAGGAGGCACTTAGTTCAGAGCTCCTTGTTTTCGATTTTGGACCTCCTTTTTATGGGACCATTCCTCTCTTATCATCCTACTAGCTTGCCATCTTCCATGGGAAATGCTTGTGGTAGCAGGTCAATTGCCTCAATCCTCACTGATTCTCCTGACAGAATAGATGTTGCATTGCAAGGTTGTGTTGTATTGGCTATAATTTTGCAACTCTGATTGATGGGTTGGCCTCTCATTTGATCACCTAACTACTAGTAATTTGGTCTCCAGTACCTCATCTTTGGGCTTTGGCAATGGATACATTCTGTCGGGACAGAATGGGATTACAACTGTAAGCTTTCTCTCCCCTTCATATGTTACGCAGGGTACTAAATATGATTTGTTCCAACCCATTGTTGGGCCTGTTGATAGCACCAGATTGGTTGGTACATCCTGGTTTTTGCTTCTGCAGTACCTTCCTGAGTGCCCACTTCTTTTTCAGCTGTCTTTGTAGAGGCAGCTATGATCTGTCTTGATACACCCGGCTGTTCAGAAGCTCAAGTTTCAGGTATGGATATTATGTAGCCTTTCGCTCAGCATTGGGGTTTAATTTCTAAGGTTGCTATGTATCTGTCTCAGTTTTGTTTGCTCTGAGATGAACATTTGTCAATGGAAATGACACGCATATCAGTAATGGTATATTGAGAGGAGGTTGAACTCATTTTAGGCATAAGTGCCAACCATAACTCATTTTTTGACCTGGCTCTTAGGAAGAGGGTTTTGCATTTTCCACAGTTGCCCTGTTTAAGGCGGCCTTATCAACTACCGTTTGAGTATTGTGACTACATAATTTCTGAGTCCCCAGTACTCTATGGATTCCACAAGTAGCTTTGGGTCCTTGGTCCCAAATGACCATTCCAGTTACCTAACAGGTATATTAAGTTTATAGTATAGGCCCTTTCTCAACACCTGTTTGTGCCCTGATTTTATATGCCCTGTATCTCCTTTATCTGAAGGTTTATTTTTTGTGGTTGCTGACCTACTGACATCACCAGTTCGAGTGATTTGTGCTGTTTGTCGACAGACTGCTTTCTCATTCTCTCTACATCCTCAGACCAGTTCTTCCTACCCAAGATACTGTCAGACAGGAAAGGGGTTAAAGTCCTTTTACCTGTTCCTCTGATCACTATTTCGTACTTCTATGTCCAATCAGATTTTTATTGTTGTTATATTCAGTGAGGGTATTGTTGCCTGCTTTAATGCCTTTAGAGTTGCTAGACCACGACTTTTCTTTTTGGCTCTCTTTGAAGGCGAAGATTCTTCTGCGAGTCACGTCTAATCAGATTTTGTCACATTTCTATGCCCTTAGCAGCCTGGTCAAACTACCTGCTGGAGGTCATTGTGCGAACTGGTATGTGGACCTCCCCCAATACTTTTATCTCGCATTATTTGCCTGATCTGGCAGTCTCTTCATCTGAGGGTTTTCAGCTACCCCCTATAACTATCTTAACCATTTCAGCTAGATTATACAGAGGAGTGAGTCTTTTCATTGATACCTTTCAGGGTCCCTTAACTTGTTTTCACAGAATTCCACTCTGTGGCGA